ACGTTTTGAGTTTGAAAAACCCAAACAAACTCTTTCTAAAATCACTGTCTTTGTGCCCATGTCCTTCTTTGTGCTGAGTTCCTTTGACTTCTGCTTTCCCAGGCTGCTGGTTTGTGTAATGTTAAAAGAACTGTATTTTTCATGTCGAGTGGACACTGACACCACTAGCTCTGAGTATTGCCTTAGACACAAGTTCTTACAGCTTGGACAGAGTGTATGTAACTCTTAATTCTGTTACAGATCCAAAAGGAAAATAAAGGTCTAGAGACTAGAACAACTTTTGGTTTAACAGTTTGAAATGGGGATTTTAGTGAGTGGATTATTTGGTTACAATGCAAGCTTTACAGTTGAGTACTTTTTTCTAGAATTACTGCTTCTTGGATTGTTTCTGTGTATGGTAAGTGAGGAAAAAACTGTCTTATTTTTGTTATTTTGCAGGACTAAGGTAACTACTTGAGGGGCAAAAAAAAAAAAAAAGTCAAATGAAAAAGGATGTTAATGCTTTGGAAAATATGCTTCACTTAACTGTAGCTGACTTTCCAGAAAAGTGTATTTTACATAATTTGTTAGTTGGGGAAGCAAGAACAGCATCGCATATGACAACAAAAGAGGAATTAAACGAAAGATAGGCGTGTGACTGAACTCACTTAGTAGTAGCATGGCAAATCAGCAAAATCGCAGGGTATAGAATAGGATGTGCTTGAAATTGTGCCGATCTACTAAATCATTAAACTTGGGGGTTTTCAATGTCATCTGGGACTGGCTTTGGCAGCTTTAACTCTTTTAAAGTTTAATGCTGTGGTGTCCTGAAAACATGATACAGTTTCTTGACACTAACACAACTGGGTGACAGAGAGCAAGGGGATCTAGTTGTTAGCTAAGGCGAGTGGTGTCATCACAGTATCTCCTTGATTGTAAATAATACATAGCCTGAAGTACCAGTTGCTATAGCTGGTTTTTGCCAGTCTGAATTTGTTGTGACTTCTACCAAAACTACAGCTTTAAGTGACAGATCTTGTATTAACTTAATAAAAGAGGAAATGGAGGAAGACTGCCAAGGCAGGAGTTTGAAAATAGTCTCTTGCCTGGCCCACACAAATGATGGGGAAAATTCTAATTGCCTGGATCAAGGGAGAGCTCTGTCTTTTGATTGTAACAAACAACAAAGATGTGAGTGGAAGATTACTTACTGATCGAATTAAAGACCCAGCATCAGATTGGACTGGCACAGGGGAGAGCAGCAGGGAAACAAAATGGGGACAGAGAGAAAACAGCTCATTAGAAAAATGCAAACAAACCACTACTGGGAAGGGGGACAAGGCCTTTAGACTCCCCTGTGTCTATTTACTAGTGGCCTAAGCAGCAGAAGGGGAAAATCTGGTTGGTTTTGCAGGCTTGCTTTTTTTTTTTTTCTTTTTTTTTTTTTTTTTTTTTTTTTTTTGGTTTCTTAAAAAGTGTGTTAAAATGAAGTTTTATCATGCCACAAGTCTTAATGTACTTGGGTCTCTTCAATGTGAAGATGACTTCAGGATGTCTGAGGAAGCTTTGCACTGGTGAGTTACCTGTTTGCTGTGAAGCCTGTGCTTACGGAACATGTCAGTATTTATGAGTCTCTTTCTTTTATTTTTTTAAATTCCTAGGGCTGAGAAGGAGCCTCAGTTTAAGTTTATCTATTTCAATCACATGAACCTGGCAGAGAAAAGTACCATTCACATGAGGAAAACACCCAGTGTATCACTTGCATCTGTTCACCCTGACCTCATGAAGATTCTCGGTGACATCAACAGTGACTTCTCCAGGTAATGCTTAACTATTAAATAGTCTGTAACTCCTTCTATCAAGTAGGTTTTTTTTTTTCAAATGAGTGAAGCTTTCATGTCTTTTTGTTTGTGGACAACTATTCAAAGCTCTGTGAGATAAATGGTGTAATATGTGTCATATTTGGTATTTTTTGTTGGTTTAGAAGTAGTCTGTCTTAAAAGGACAATAGAAGTTTTGTTTAAAAAAAATAATTTAAAGAAGGGCCAGGGCCTCTATCCAAGAAAACACCTAATCTATTTGAAGCTTCAGAGTAGCCATAACAAACTTAAAAGGGATGTGGAGCCTAGTGCTTCTGCAATTCAGTCTGTGTGATCTCTGGTGAAGTAGTATAAAGGACAGGGAAACCTGCTTCTGCCTATATTATACCCTCCTCTGAAACAGCTGACTGCTCTTAGGGATTTGACAGCAGATGAAATGCAAACCTTGCAGTTACTACAACACTGCTGATTGATAGAGAACATACCCATTGACAAGAAGCCAGTTATGCTTCGAGGTAGGAGAGACCCTCTGTCACTCTAAAGAACATGAAAATGCCAAACGATTGTGATGTCTGTAATAATGACTAGCAATTTTCCCACGCTGCTTAAGGATGAGGTTTTAATTTTTTTAATAAATTAAAAAATAATTTTTTGTCATATTGTAGAGGTGTACTGGGTCAGTGACAGCTTTATGTAATATATTTAGTGGTTGAGCATGGTTTAACAATTAGATCTGTGAAAGCTTGGTATAACCACACCATCGCCAACTTTCATCACTTGGTCACCGTGCAGCAAATCATAATCTTACGAAGCGTGTCCTTAACAGTATGGAAGATGGGTGTTTTCTTCAGAGCACTGGAGTGTTTGGCCCATGGACAAAGTACTTGATTCATCTGGGGATGTAAATGTCCTAAGCAGCCATTCATGAAGCCTTCATCTTGGTTTGCTGAATTACGTCTAAGTTAGTACTGGTAGTCTCTGATACTGCACAACCACAACAACGTATGACATTAAGCTGTCTTAATGATTACAAATAAAGTTGTTGAAGATGAACTTACTGCCCCCTTCTTTACTTTCTAAAACTTCTTTCAGAGTTGATGAAGACGAGGAAATTATTGTGAAGGCAATGAGTGATTACTGGGTAGTTGGGAAAAAGTCTGACCAGCGAGAACTGTACGTTATTCTGAATCAAAAAAATGCAAATCTGATTGAAGTTAATGGTAAGGAGTGTTTTTTATTACATATAAATTACTACTAAAATGTATGTCCCTGGAGAAGTAATAAAATCCATCTCACAAGAAATCTACAGAGGGATTAATCTATAATAGACCAGGGAAGTTTACATAAGGTTTTAGTCTGCCTTTCACCAGCTGTGAAAGAACAGCATAAATATTCAGCAGACATTCTTAATTATTAATCAGTCATTCTTTCTCCTTCAAATAATAGAGAACTCTGTGAGCTGAGTTTAGAAGTAATTAATGAAGTGTATTACAGGAGAGATGAACATATTTACATCTGAGTTAGGTTTTATTTGTCAGCGATCCATGGGTAGGCTACTTACATAACGTCTGCCCTGTCAGTGAGCCTTGTTCCACTGCTGTCCTGTTTCTAATCCTATCTTGAGAATGATTTACTGTGACTAAGAGTGCAAATTAGCATAGGGCTTATTGCATCTTAAAGAAAAATGGCAGCAACTTTAGGGCTCACTGTTTTAACAGGAGTCATGGGCTCACTTAGATGATGGGAAAGAATGAATATTTTTTCCTAGACCGAAGCCTAGCAACCTAAATTTTAAGGAGCATGAGCTGCATGACTTAGAGTGACTTCTAATTGTCTTTCAGGACATACAGAAACAGTAAATGAGCATTTCTGCACCTGATAAACTTATGAAGTGGTGTCTGCCAACTATCACAAAGCAAAAGCTTTGCTGACTTGATTTATTGTAACAGACTACCCTAATCCCTCCTTCCCCAGAGGAGGGGTTACCGTGTACTTCCTTGTGTTGAAGCCAAGTCTTCTGCTGTTACAGTGTAAAAGTCTGACAAGATGAATGGCCCAGCAGCAAACTCAAACCATCATTTTACACTTTAGCCACATAGAGTACAATTCATCTTTCAGACAGCGTGAAGCAGCAGACTTCACTCAACTTTCTCTTCTCTCAGCTGAAGATGGAACAACATTAAGTGTATTTCTACATTAGAAACTCCCAGGGTTTTTTTCTGTTTGAATTTAATTACATTCTCCTTGATGAGCCCCAGGGTTTTTCTTGCAGAGGTTCCTGTAAAGTATCATACTGAAATGTCTTATTTTCATTTTTTTACAGAAGAAGTGAAGAAACTTTGTGCAACACAGTTTAATAATATTTTCTTCTTGGATTGATCTGTAAAGGGCTGATTTATTGAAGATGTCAAAGTCAGACACTTGTTGAACATGAAGAGTTATTAGTCATATTATTGACTGGAATAATGACAATAGTAAAGCAATACTTGCTTTGTAAGAATCAAAATTTCTACTAAAATCTGTAAACTCTGATCATAAAATTTTTAGATTTTAAAAATGTTCGCGAACTAATTAAAAACCAGGCTGAATTCATCTGTACCATTCCATTCTGATATTATGTGAATATTTTACTGGAAAATAAAACTAATAATTGTTACACTTTTAAGAGCATTTTTTTGTTTTCCTGTGTTCATTTGCATCATAGTGTGACTTTCTGCTAATTTTCTACATTGTGAAACTAGACTAGTTACCAGGATCCCTGAACAAGGAACTTTCTAGGTTGACCTTTCTTCACCGTTCTGCTTTAGCCTCATTTACAGTCATTCTCAAGTTCTCACACACTTGTTTATATGCAGTATTTCAGTCAAATAAACTTGTGTTTTAAGCAGAAACCATTTCATTAGGACATAAGATCATGACAAGGTATCAGTTCTTCTGTCAACACTGAGGGTATTTTTAGGTACAAGTCAGATACTGACTTCTGGAATAGTTTTGTTTAAAGAGTTACACTCACATAAATGACTATATTCTCTTTCCCAAGACTCTTGGTGTAAGAGCAACTTCCCTCTGAAACCAGCAAGCCTTGCACATGTTTTATCATATTGTATTTTAGACCTTACTGCAACTGTAGTTTTTGTTGGTTGTTTTTTGTCTTATTCAAAGAGTACATACTTGAAGCCTCAGTAGTTCTCATCAGAATATTTATTTCTTCTTTCTCCTTTTGCCAGCAGGCACTTTGGTAACAATGGGGCGTGCCTCTTCCTTCAGAGGGAGTACTAACTGTGTAACCGGCTCCTGTAACTCCTTAAAATCTGCACTTGTGGAGTCAAATGTTTTTTCTGCTGCAGCTGCTTCTTGCCTTTTTGCCTCTTCTGCTTCTCTTCCAGCAATAAGTCTGAGTGAACAAAGTTTAAATTTAATGTACTGCAAGGGGGGGAACGGATAACAGATTTATACTGGCTGAAAAGCCACAGCTATATTCACAGTATGTGCAGTATAAACTGTCACACTGTAGAGAAGCAGAAAATCTGTCTAGTTACCACTTCAAGTCTGATTTACAGTATGTAAAAAAAAAAAAAAAAAAAAAAAGTCTTAACTGCCTTTACACAGAGCAGGGCTCAAGTGCCAGGCAATACCAGAGTCAAGAGTTCTGTAACCTGAAAGCAGCCTGTATTTGTTACTCCTGACAGTAACAGAAGTCAAGTTACATTCTGTATGTGGCTTATTCTACCTGGATGAGTTTGTTTTCCCAGTTACAGTATGCCATACTACTTTATTAAAGCACACTTCTCATTTTCAATAATTTTGTTAGTAGAATACAAGAGAGAACAGTACTTCAAGATACAACACTCACTGTGCCAGCTCCTCATCCTTGATCTTTCTCAGCTCAGCTAATTCAGCATCCCATATTCGATTTTCTTTTATTTTTTCCCTCAGCACTTTTTCATGCTGGTAGGCAGGAAAGAACTTAGTTGTAAAAAAGATCTGCACCTGCCACATCCACAGACTAAATTCGTCATCTTGTGCAGTTTTGGCTTCTTTTGGTTCATCTGCAAAGTGTAAATTAAACATGTCTATTTAGCAGGTCACTTGTATTTCAGATGTGTTTTGGACTATAATATTTCAAATCTGATACCCTGCAAGGGGAAAGTCTGGATTCTGCATGGTACAGAAGATGGCAACTGTGAGAAATGTTTAACTGATGCTTGTGAAAGGGGATGGCCCTTCTGTGGGTTTTCAGAGTGCCTTGTCCCTGGGAATGGCATCAAAAGAATATGAACTTTCCCCTTTAATCCTATGATAAAGGTCTTCTGCAGTAATCTGATAACAGTTCAGTATCCATGACTCCTGTGCATGGGGGAATGGCGAAATGAACATGACTACCTAACAGAAGAGAATTGCATGCAAGCATCTAAGTGTCAGCACTGTCAAAAATAGGTGGGGGCTCTTCTGCAGGTTCTTTAAGAAACTGTTTTTTCAGATCTGTAAATTTTCAGTCATCAGATTTCAGTGAAAGAGCTGATGCCTACACAAAGATCCTTGTCCACCTATGGATCTGGGTTCTTTATCTGTAGAAAAGATTTAACAAGCACAAAAACCAACCCAGATGAGATCTGGCTAATCAGCCAGAAGGGAGATGGTATAAAAATGAAAATGCTCTTGCTGATTTCTCTTCTGCATAAATGTTGGCCTGTTACAAAACATCTTATCCCAGCTGATGGTGCCACACTATTAATAATAATTCTTATATTAAGTATTATATTAAGTAAAAGAAGCAAGACATAGCAGTGATATCTTTTATTTGTCCAAGACATTAAAGAAAAAAAAGGGCAGGCTTGTAGATTAAGCTTCTCATAAAGCAAATACAAATTAGAGCTTATAGATGCCCTACAAATAAAATGCAGCACCGATACTGAAACATCATAATTATTAAGTTTCAATTTCATTTTAAAAGTTTTCTTTAGGAAAAAAAAAAAAAATCTTCCTCCAGAATTAATGTTCATTTACTGCCCTCTTGTGACAAGCTGAAATCTGCATATACAATTAAAATATTTGCAATTCAAGAGCTACGAGGGATTTTTTTTTTGTGTGTTAGTCCTAAAAGAGTAGGACTGCTTTACCTGTCAATTCCTTCACTGGGCAGAAATCTTGTTCTTTTTCTGCATCACGGCTGAACAATGATGGAACATCTTTGATATCTCCATGAGATGTGTGAAACGAGAAGATAGCATCCGATATTGCAAAGAAAGAAAATTAAAATCACTGTCTGTAATTCTGTGCATTAAGCATCAGGTTTGATCTTCAGCACAAATATAAATTGTCATCTGACCTTACAGCTAGACCTGTGGTTGAAATACTTCTGTACTGATGAAAAGTTTGTTTATAATGAAGGCAGAGTGCTGAGTTCAATCTCCCATTTCCATGCCCAAATGAGCGGGACAGAACAGCAACAATAAAGCCTTTAAGTTATCTTTAAGGAAAATTGGACAGCTTCTAATTAAAAAGCACAAGAAGTTCAGAGACTCAAACCTGCCCAGCTATCTGTGTAGAGCAGGTGTGGAAAGCTAAAGGTAAACCTTGTCATAATTGCCAAACTGAATGCAGCTGCCCTCTGTAACAGCGATACATCCAGCTGTTTCAGTTATCAGCTACTGTTTTAATTGTCTTTAAAGTTGTAGAGTGAAGCTCCTCTAGCACCACTGCTTGTACTTGCTTATGGTAACTGTACTCACCCAGCTGGAATTCTCGAAGAGGATGCCGTCTGTCTTCACAAGGTCTCAGCGGCTGGCAAGAAGTTTTATATTCAGTTACTAAATGCCTGGACTCATATTCAAATTAGTAATCATATGTCCATTTGAGTCATGCAAATTCCTGTCTCCAAAGTGTTCTGCCAACTAATGCTTGCTGCAATTATGCCTATTTCAAAACATTTAAATTGAAATAGCGTTTCACACTTTGAAGTATTAACAGAGCAGTCATAACGCTTTACCTTTGATACCAGCCAGGGAAGTAGGATTATCCTATTTCAGAACTAGGGAAACACAGAAGTACAGAGAATGAAAGCTCCTGCTCTTAGACACGTCCCTCTGTACCTACATGTTGCTCTACATACCATTATTCATCTGCTCCTGAGGAAACAATAGTGCATTTGTATTCCTGACTATAGAAATGCACTCCAGGATACTGAGCGGAAGGAGAGAACAACATTCAAGAGTGTATCTAAGAAGGATGCTTTGAACTCTTTCCAACTGCCATCCCAAGTATCTTGTGCAGCCTGGTGATGCCACTCTTTTCAGATGAGTAACAGTAAGTCTCACAAAAACTCAGGTCAAACATAGTTCTGTTTTTCAAGTGTTGGTACATTTTCTAGAAGTCACGAAGTTTCCAAATTCTAAGATTTCAACGATTCTCGTACAAAATCGTAATCCTTACTATCCTACCCTGAAATCACAGAGCTCAAACAGAACATATTTATTCTTGGAATATCAAGAATCTCATTACTGTATGACTAATAATTGGCTACAAAATTGTAAAGGCAGTGAAGGTGAAAAGTTTGCTGGAAGAATTCTCAAAGTGTTTTAGGAATTACATTAGTTACCTCCCCCAGTGCTTTAAATCCCTCTGCCCACTTCTCAGTCTCTCAGTCCCCTTATGAATAAAACTGTACCTTTGTTCACCACTGTTGTAGTTAATGTAGAAGATCCCACCCAATATTCTAAATAACAATAGCTGAGTATATGTGTGGAAGCGAATGCTTTTGTTAGCAACGGAAATCCACCACTCCTAGGGTCATCCGTGCATCCAGCATGGGAACACATTGTATTTAATATCAGATGGAATTCTAGTCCCTTTCAAAACTTAAAAACTACCTTGGCTACTCTGTCACTCATGAATTGCAAACCCTCTGCTCCATCTTTCAGTGTGGGCTTTTTACATACCTCATGTTTCTTTATTTCGTCTTGTGATATGACACTTGTGCTTGAAGACAACCTTGAGGAAGTAAAAAGGTCAGCTGCCTTGGAAACATCATCATTTATGTCTGTACCAATTACACTTCTGCTGTACGTGCACTAATAAAAAGCAAACAAGAAGAATTTCACATTCACTACCTTTTAAATTAAGATTTTCTTTTGGTCTTGGAAAATGTACTATTTTAACTGGACCATTTCGCTGTGCAACTGCACTACTGCTTCCAGTGATGCAAGGGAATGGATTTCATAGGATGGGAAAAATTGGCCAGAGAATGGGAAGTGGTGGTGTTCAGTGGCACTACTGGCTTTGAGAAACTGTAAATTAGGCATTTGTGAATGCTCTTTGAATTAATAAAAATACTTTCATCTGGTGCATAATTCCAAATAACAACAAGTCTAATTCATGCCTTCAGCTACCCCGTACATCCAAACTGCACCGTTGTCGCAGGCAGCATCTTACAACGAAAAAAATCCTTATTCAAGTTTAGCGAAGGAAAGAGCGTAGCTTAACTGCTGGGAAACAGCAAGTCTTGCTACATACAATTGTAATGCCATTTTTATGGGGCAATTTTAGACATTTGACTTAAAGCAGGAGGGGCATATCTTCCACCAGTCAACCAATTTGTCAATTCCCCTTCGCACACCAGACTTGCAAGTACTTTATGTGTATTTACAGTTACCTAGAAAAATGTGCCAATGTGTTAAAACTGTCTATACTAATGTTACAATCTAAGGTAGCAACAAACAGAAAAAGCACAAGGACCAAATCAAATTACAAAATGCAAAAAGAGGAAATTGGTTTCTATGTTCAGGAAACATGGAACATTTGCAGGGCCCAACTTTGCCCTCTAAATGGACAAAAGATAATAATTAACACATCTGCATCAACTTTACCTGGGGGAGAGAATATTCTGGGTACAGAGACACATTTGTTGTTCCCTCGGAGAGACCCTTGATTCTAAAGCTACTTCTTTTCTGATTATCATGAGCTACTTGCTCCTTAATCATATCACTGGTAACATACACCAACGCACACTCAAGAAGAGCTTCAACAAATTCAAGAAAAACCAACTAGAGTAAAACAAACACCATGATTAATTAATTCATTTTTGCAAAATCCCTTCATTTACATGTACCTGAGCAAGCAAAGAACTCAAAAGTAACTGTGAAGCCTCACTGGCCTCGTTTGTCAGTCAAACATCCCTTCTTCTGAAGAAAAATTGAAAACAACAAAAGCTCAAAAAATTCAGGAGGTGATATACTGTGTTATGCCTTATACAAGTTGTATTTAAATAAAATACTGCATAGATTTTTGCTGTATCTGGAGTTACAAGAAATTTCTCTAACAAACAACACTCAACTATTGATACTACCTGAAACGTTTAATTGCATATGATGCTTCCAGAAATCCCTTAGTAAGGCTTAACACTGTGTGTTCAGTTTATCAGACACTGTAAAACAATAATTCAATAATGTCACTTACAAGAGACCAGTCTCCTAGAAATGGTATTTCACCCTCTGGGTTACAGTACTCTGAAGAAGTTACCTGTATAGTCAGGAGTGCTGAGACTGTACCAAGAAGGGCAAGATAATAAGTAAAACCTAGAAGTGCACGAGCTAAACTAGAAGATACAGGCAGAATAAAGGAAGACAAAAACAGAGGCTCAAGTTTGTGCTCTATTTTTTTTTCAAATAATTCACTTTCCTCCTAGCAGATAGGACAGAATTTGCAGCATTTCATTTTTAAAGTAATTTTAATTGTTCCTGTATCAATGAACTATGATAGTTTTTCTTCCGTACACACCTCCGGCTCCAGGCTGGTACTACTGCTATCGTGTAGAAAAGGACCATCTTTGGCAAGTATTTCCACAAGTCTTGAAGCAGTCAATTGTTTGCTGAGAAGTTTAAAATCCTGGATAAGAATAATAGTTGCATGTTAACAGCACTTGAGGCATTCCCACATGGACCTAATCGAACTCCTTTTAAGGCCTGTGTCAAAATTTCTAGTGGTTTCAAATGACACTTCCACATATGTAATTAATGACAGAATGGAATTCTGGCCCTACTGAAGTCATTTTGCCGCATGATACTTTTATTTTTTTTTTTTTAATTAAAAAAAGGCTTGGATTTAACAGTGATAGTGATCCAAAACCCACGCATATCAATGGGAACTGTTCACTAGCTTCAGTGTAATCTTGATCTGCCCCTGAATTACTGAATATTAAAAAAGCATCACATGTTCACCTTGCAGTATATTCAATTAATACATTATTAAAATGGTTTACTGTGTTATTTCAAAACCTGCCAGTCTTTGAGTTCTACCAGTAAGACATTTTCATATAGACATTTAACAGGAGGGAAAAAAAAGCCAGCAAAAATACTTTTATTCCCTTAAAACACATTTGTCTAAGATTTGATTATTTGAAACAATCAAGTATGAAATCAGCATTCAATCCTGCAAAAGTACATAAATAATATCTGTAGAACAACTGTCCCTTTAACGTTTGTTGGACAATTGGTACAAATAACATCACTCCTACCTTTTCAACTGTGCAGAAACCACACGGAGTATTTTAAAATGCTCATATAAACTGAACAAATGAAGTGCACCTAATCACACAAAATGGAGCGGGTCCAGAGGAGGACAGGCTGAGGGAGTTGGGGGTGTTCAGTCTGGAGAAGGCTCTGGAGAGACTTTAGAGCAGCCTTCCAGTGCTTAAAGGGGGCTGCAGGAAAGGTGGGGAGGGACTCTTGGTCAGGGAGTGTGCTGATAGGACAAGGGGTAACAGTTTCAAACTGAAAGGGGGGAGATTTAGGTTAGATGTAAGGAAGAAGCTCTTCACTGTGAGGGTGCTGAGGCACTGGCACAGGTTGCCTGGAGAAGCTGTGGCTGGCCCCCCCCCGTGCGTGTT